AGTGTAATTCGATTTTCATTTAATCATACAAGGGAATTAATTTAAACATTTAAATATCATCAAAGTGTAATATGAGTTTAATAATGTATAAACTAAAATTGTATTTAATTTGAGTTAAATCATGTATAAACTAAACTTGTATAACAAAAATTGGTTAAAGAAGTATTGAACAATTCACTACTACAGTAGACGGAAATGTCCATCAATTGCGCCACGTCTCTTTCCACATACCATTGAACATCAGTGTTCGTTTAACCTTACCATTGCCTCTAGCCACCCCCCCCCCCCCCCCAGTTTCAAGTTTCAATCTATATTTCACATTCAAAAACAGTTTATATTATGGATACTTGCTACTTGCTAATAACACGAATTTCTCCTCTTTTTTTCTTTTTTTTTCTTTTTACAAGTTTATATTAAAATTAAAATTTCGCAAAGGACCTCGGAATGGAATACTCGGAAGTCTCAGGTTTTATCTTACATTTATAACCCCAATCGGAAGCTTTTGTATCCCATTCAAAGTTTTAATACGAATCGAGGTAATTTTCGAGGAATAAATGAGTGGTTTACAATAAAGAGGCTCGACCAGATACGACTGAAACGATTAATTTGACAAGAAAAAGCGAACGAAGTCATTTTAAAGTAGATTAATGATTGATATATTGACAAAATATGAGCTTGAAGCGGGAGTGCCTGAAATTGAGTTAGGTACCTAATGGTAAAAATTAAATAAATAGGGGGTGACCCGTATACGAAACAAGTGCCTGTGACTATGAAGCTAAATTTTCGGTACTTTTTTCCCTGATGTTAGAATTTACCAATGTTTGACCTTACAACAACAAAATGGGGGCTAACTAACATCCAAATGAACAATTCTTTATTAAAACTAAAGCTAAAGACTACATGTATACTCTGAATAAAGTGGGGGAGCGACAGGGTCCCCCAACCCCGCAAGTTTCTACGGGCCTTTAAAATAGACTCAGTCTTAAAGTCATAATCCTCTAAAATTAAATCTAGGCTGCAGTCCTAATTCTCTAAAATTAGATCGAGTTTGTCCTAAACCTAGTTCAAATTATGCAAAACAACGATTTACAGGTTCTCTTCTAAAAATGCATTTCTACCCCTTGAGCAGCATGGACATTAATTTCAAAGAATCGACTTGAACTTCTGAATCATTTTCTTATCCACAGGTTTCATTTCATGACTTAATCTACATCAATTGTATATTTTTACTAAATTATTAGATAATTCACTACTTTAACTGTAAGGTAGTCCGTTCCTCAGGTTCTGAAAACCAGACATTGAATAATTGAAAATGCACACAAAAATGCCTCTGAATTCTCAAAGTAATGTGTATTTACTTACAGTAATTCTTCTAACTTCACCATTTGAGTAAATCATATTACATAGTAAATCTCAAATAATATTTTAGGAAATGTGATTAGAAACACCTACTATGATTTTTTTAAATTGAAAATTGGTAAACAAATATATTTTAGGTTGAAAACTAAATGCATCCAGGCATTTGAAGAAAATTTCATAATTTTCATACTTATCCTGTACAATAATTTCTTCTGTTTACATGAATTAATTTATAATGCATAGAGTATAAAGCATTACCTATCATTGCAAAACACCGTACTTCACCTCTTATTTTATATTATGCTAATAAACATTGGTATCTAAGGTTATATTAAAAGAAATTCGATTTTTTTTTAAAATATGTAATTTTTAAAATACTTTCGTGGGATACAAACATCAACTTTTTATTAGACCGTTTCTAAGTCTTCAAAGAACCTTGAATCATATTGAGATGGATGAAATGAAATTTGTTGCATGAAAAGATTGTAATTTTAAGCTTCACTTTTAACTTTTTGAATTAAATTATAAATTAAAGAGTTATCCTTCCTACCATTCAGTACAATTTTTTGGAAAACTTTCCTATTTCTCGAGGAAAAAGTGCAATTTTATAGCTTTAATAGATCTTCTTCTTCTTTTTTCTTTTTAAAAAGTCCATGCCACAAAACCGATTTGTAAAAACACACGCACATTCTTAATTCAGTGTGCATATAGATCTGTCCTCCAATCGAACAACTCTGACCTACAATTTTTTCATCGTAAAATTTTTTGGGCTTGACTGCTGTTAAGGTCAAGATATAGTAAACGAAAGGTGCCTACAGATTTCTCAAATTTGAGATTGAAATAAATTTCTTTAATGATGCTTTATAACTTTAGCTTGGTCAAATAAGGTGTTTCGGGGCATACTTTCTAGATAAAGAAGACGAAAAATCATATTTTAAACTGTCATTTTCAATGAAAAATTAAGAAAACCAGTCATGGATACGGGAATTTTTTTTCCATATCAGACAAAGGAAATGTATCCAAATTGCCTACACTCTCTCACAAAACGATAATTTTTATGTTCTTGGCCTCTTCTTTAAAATAATATTAAATTGAATATAGGTATCGGGATTACTTTTCATATGATTTCAAATTGAATCCATGAAAATACGTTATTTTCTAAATAATTATATTAGAACTGTCAAGTACGGGAAAAAGAAAGTTAAAATTGATTATGACGTCATATTGGATCTAGCACCAAAAGTCTAAAGTCATTTACTTGACACGCCATAACCAATAATTCCTGTTGTGTAATTTTCGTTATTTTGTATATTTTATTATTTTTATACATGACTATATCTACTATGTGTATGAACATTTGGACAAAATCGTTCGAGCATTTTGAACAGGAATTTCCAAAAGTTACTTTAGCGACTGGTGAAATCGATAAATGCATTGAATTTTGATTATATTATTTTTTAAGTGAACGCTACATTTACATGTAACGTGAGAGGAGAAAAATGCAGCGGACCAGACCGGGATTCGAACCCGGGCCCCCTGAATCTCCAGTCAGGTGCTCTACAAACTGAGCTATCTGGCCACCGGCGATCGAACCCGTCTGACCGCCACATTCCTCCCTCCTTAAAGGTCTTCGGCCCCCGAAGACACAAACCCAGGCTCTTCCCTGGCAGGTCTTTCACCTGTCACTTCCAGGGCATGGCACGGCACCAAATGTCACGGGAGAGACGAAAAATGCAGCGGACAGACCGGGATTCGAACCCGGGCCCCCTGAATCTCCAGTCAAGTGATCTACCAAATGAGCTATCTGACCACCGGCAATCGAACCCGTCTGACCGCCACATACATAAAGTTTCTTATTTCAAACATGCATCTTCTGGTGTTTCAGTAAAGAAAATAGAAATTCTGTTTTCGTCCATATTAACTTTAATGTAGAAAACTGAACATTCTTCATCTTTTTTTAAAAAAAAATCATCCATGTGTCTGAATAATCGAGTACAATGGTATCAACTGTTTTGTTTTTTGTATTTTGTTGGAGGAAATGCGAACTGAAATCGTTTACAGTGAATGATTACCGCAATAATACTGTATTTCAGTAAAACAATATTCTTTTAACTTTCCATACTTACTTTATATACATTTTAGCTTTCAGTTCATGTATTCATTATAACATAAGTAAACGGTTCTGCGTATTCGTGGGGAAAATGTACGCTGTATTTATTTGGAAAACGGGAGGAATAACTCAACTAAAGGGAGGGAAACAACCATCTTGTACATTTTTAGAGTTATTCCTCTTTGATCAGTGAACTCGATCCTGCAAACGGTATCGATAATGAAAACATGATTTATAATTTATTTTTATTATATTACTATTATTATTTTACTGCAGAATCGATTGATTTGCGTTTTCAACAAATTAACATATTTATCATTTTGATGTCCCTTCTTGTACCCCTGACAAATCAAATTGATGTGAGCACTGAGCACGCTCTGGCAATGCACGCTTTTCTTCTGCTCCATATGCGTCTTTGTCTGCCTCCGTGATTTTTCCCTTACCTTTGTTCGAAACTGAACAGGCGCAGATCCAGGAGTTGAAGTTAGGGGGGTGCAAAAAGTAGGCAGGGGGTGTGGGGGCCACATTGAGGCTCCCAGTGGGTCCAGGGCGAAGCCCTGTGAGAGGCCCAGGGGGCGAAGCCTCCGGAAGCTTCTGTGGACCTTTTCACAAAATATCTTACGACTAAGACAAAAATTTTGCAATTCTCCAAAAAGTATCTTAGCTATAGAAATCCACCAAAAATCTCATATTTCTACTACATATATTCTAGAGATTTTGTAGGGTAAAAATGTGGTCTACCGAGTGAACTTTTTTTTACATTTTCTTGACGAAACTATGATTTACGCTAACTTTGACAATTTTTTTTTTTTGGGGGGGGGGGGGGGCGCTTTTAAAACTCCCGCTGGTAAAGATATTGCTCTGGTAACTTTTGGCATGTGAAACACTATTACATTTGTCTTATTCATCTTGGAACAAATATTTTTGAAAATAGAAAATTCTTATCCCTTTCTTATAATTTTTTATGTCCTTGAATCAATTTCAGGGTCGTAGCGATGTTTCTGAAAAGGGGATCATGTGAAAGGGTTATTCGAGGAGTACCCTTTCCTCTAAGTTTCTTTTTTTATACAAAGGAAAAATTTGCTGGGTTCCTTTGAAAGTCATCTTTAGATATCATCTAACAAACAAAAACAGACGAATAAAGAATTTATTATCTTTTCTAGAAAAGAAGTGGATAGGTACTCTTCCTTGAAGAAACACTTTTTAAAATAAAAAAATGTAACTGATTTTATGCTTTATGTGTATTGTGTTTTTTCCATCAAGAGGGTTATATAATAGGCCAAAGATATTTGTTACTATACTAAAGAATGTGATCGCCATCGCACCACCGCTTCATTGTGTCATCGCTATTGCACCATGGCGCCATCGCGGTATCGCTTCATTGTGCCCTTTCAATAATTCTAGTAACCTTTATTGGTCTTGGAATTCTTGTTTCTGTTTGCATTACCCCCCCCCCCCCCGTCTCAAACTGAAATGTCTTCCTATGATGATAAAGATTCATATATCAACCAAACAAGAATTAAAATTTATTTGACACTCAGTTTTCTTCTCATTAGCCAATGATGTTCATCAATTCATCATCACTCAATCTACAAGAGAATAAATCGTCCTCAATACAAGTAAAATGTATGTATGACTCACATTGTATATATTTTTTGAAAATTCGACAAAAAGTAAATTAAGGCAACTTACTCCTTTTCACAAATATAATAGAGCAATTGGTGACAGGCGAAATCGTGCCATTGAATCGAAGAGTCCGTGAAACAGTTGTACGCGACACAATCCTCACTGCCACCGTTTGGTTGACTAGCATGCCAGTCAGTAAAGGTAAAAGATGCTCTACTTTTTATCCAAATGTAGGAACCTTCTCTTTCTAGGTCATTACCCCCAGTCCAATAATTTACGTTGTCAAAAGTATCTGTCATTATGAGTATATGCATATTTAAAACATACTTCATTCATATGTGTTTGATTTAATAGTATAAATATATTTTTTTAAAGGTTATTATATGTAATATTATAGCATCTTGTTAAAGAAATTGTACACTCTCAAACATACTGGTCGAGAATATTAAACATAAAAATAATGGAGAAAAATTTAAACCTGGTTTAATACTTAGTCTAGTATTTATATTGTCAGATTTTTAATCTTATCATTCCATGATGACAGAGAAGGTTTTATTATTTGAAAATGTCTCTTAAATCTTGAATAGCTGGTATTCCCAATTCATTTCTGATAAGTAAAATAACCAAATCGAATTCAAATACTCATCTCACCAATTTAAAAAGAACATGAAAAGTATGAAGAGTTTGTGCTTTCATTCGACTTTACTGGGATATTTCGATTCTACATATGAATGAACATTATACATGATTGTATATGTACATATGCATCGTGAATTGATAATACGTATTCCATAAATTTTAATGTTGAGTTAAAGGCCCGAGCAATTTTTCTTCTTCTCATGTTGAAGCTTTTGAAAAAAGGAAATGCTTTATTATAATACAAAAACAAGCCGGCTTGTAGAGGGGCACAATTTGTGCCCTAGGATGTTCCAATAGAATTTTGAATACCTGGTTTCTAAAGATTCAAAGACATTGTCAATGAGGAACTCCAACATATTTTAATATCATTTTTAGAATATTGTGTGTTGGATCAGAATATTTTTTTGCAAAATAAATTATCTTTGTAGATGAATAATTATAAGAAAGGAATATTTTTGAATCCATTTTTATTGTAGAAAAGCAGTTGCTATAATATCAAAAAGCCTAATTGTCTTTAATTCAATGTGAAGAATGATTATATTAAGTTTGATCAATAATATGTTTGATGCTATTAATTTTGGTAGAAAATGTGATTTAAGATTTTTAAAAGGCTCTTTGTAGTTTTTGAGAATACGCATTTGATTTACACCACAACTTCTTGTGTATGTTGTGGCGCAATATGTCCAAATTTTCTCCTTCACTTTAGTTAATATTTTTATGATGAGTGAGCTTCTAGAACAATTACATTGTAATTAGTCATGGTTGTAAGGAACTTTCGGAATACAGTATAGGTAATGTAACGCCATCTTGTTTCCATCAATGTGGAATCGAATTCATTTTTTAAAATATACGAAAAAATCACTTTATCAGATATATTTTTACCAAGTACCAACTTACGGTTTGGATGAAGATGTGATATCCGGTTTTTCAAGAACTTATTCTCCACAGAAGATTCAATCTCGACCAGTTTTCCTTGTAAAGCAGTGCATATTGACTGTTTGTACAAAAGTCAAGGTTTCAGGTTTCAAAACATCAATAGGATACTATTAGGAATACTATTAACATGTGAATTGCTTGTGTGTGATTAAAATAAGAGGTACTTGTATATTTAATACTTGTATTTTAATTTTTTAAAGATCTAATATAGAGACAAAGATGAGTATTAATTAAATTGTCAGCAACATTTGTGTGTGTGTGTGTGTGTGAGGGTGTGTTTGTGCGTGTTTAAGGAAATATGATTGTGCAATGTATATAGACATCAATATTAGAAAACAGATTCACAAATTGTTAGCAAAAACTGATTTTTTTTTTATCACGGAAATTGACTGACCCCTGCTGATGCCCAGTTCTCCGTCTCATCTTTAAAAAGGTAACAAGAGGCCTGGAAGTGGACCCAGCCTGGTTCACATCCGGTGGTACAGCCACCTTAACAAAGGACCACAAATCTAGTTTATTTACGTATTATCGTATACAATGGAATAAAAATAATGCGGAATACGTAAAAAAGCACACTAACCGTTAAATGACACAAGGATAACTCCAAAGAATAAAACAAATTTCTTGTAGGGCATTGTGATAAGAAACGATTACAGAATGATAAGGAGAAAAGCGCAGAACTATATTGTACGCATTATTATCAATGTATGTGCACTCTTGTCAGGAAAGACTACCTTCTCTTTTCATCAAATGCTTTTATTATAAATAATGTTTGAAATGGTGTCCTCCACTTTTCAAAAATCGTTATTCCTTTTAAAAAAAAGAAACTTGAACGTTAAATTAAAAAAAGGTTTGAACATAAAAATGATCAAGGGAGATTAAATTTCAGTATGCGATAAAACCATCTGGTTGCATTTATTGGGAGAACAAAATTCATCAGGTTGAGATTGGTTCAAACTTTTAAGTTTTTTTATCTTTAAAAAATCGGTGAAAAAATGACCCGTGGTAAACATTTCACTATACGTTTGGGTCAATAGAGGATTTAAAATTTGTTCCCAACTGACGGACAGTGCAAAATGCAATAGTCTGTATCCTTTCTGTTGTCCAAAGTTTCAAGTTGCTTTAAAAATAAATGATCTAAACAATTTTGGAGGAACATTTTGCTATGAGAACCCTCTTAGGATGACACTCAGAGAGTGTACATAATATTAAATTATTCATCCTTTAATCTGCAACTTATGTTATATTGTTGATATTACTTGATGGCTGTAAACACCAAAGAAGCTTTTAACTTGGAACTTCTTGTTTTTCTTCTTGCATGGTAATTTTTTATGCCCCTGAATGGCCAGGCATATATTGTCACCCCTTTCCGTCCGTCATTCTGTGTTATTCCGTGATAGTTAGTATTCCTGACTTTATTTTGGCTATGCTTGTAGATAAAGAGCCGATTCTTAGTATGTCTCTTGATATTGATGACAAAGACCAAGATTTGATTTTTTGATTAGCCCATTTTTCCAGCTTACATATAATCCTTAGACTCTTTCTTCTTATTCAGTTTTTCATGACTTTTTTGGCTGTGCTTGTAGATAACGAGCTGATTTTGATCTGTTTCTTGATATTCATTGATGTTAAGCTTAAGTTTTGTGATGAAAAACCTATTTTTATAAAAGTTGTTGTCCTTAGACTCTGAAAAATTCGAATTCGCTGTTTTCAGGACATTTTTGATGTGTTTACAGATTCTGAGCTCTGTTATGTTTCATAAATTTTTTTTGTAGGTAAGCTAACATACTTTTCAGTCGGATGTTTGATATCGAGGAACATCACAACAACGGGAAAAGAGACCAAAAAAAATAGAGTCACATTTTCAAATAATATTTCTTTATTTTTGTTATTGAACCCATCTGTTCAGGTATACATTGTATTTACTTTTTTGTATACAGGTATTTCCATGAAACATATGATGCCAATCGACGCGGAACAAAGTCAAGACTTTGGCTGTAGGGCGTACATCCTTGCTGCTGGACACGGTTCCAGTAGGATACGGTATTAGGATTTCTACATCCCCTTGGTCCGCCGTTATGAATTCTCGCATAACTCTCGCAGTTGGCAGGACAACCACTGCTACCAATGTAGCGATTCATGTAGGCGCGCACACATCCAGCGGCGCAGTTGTAATCATTGGCACATTCTTTCCAACCTGTCATGAAAATCGGTCAGTTTACAAGAAACAATTCACATGAAATAATTGCATTTGCTTACATTGTATTAAAGAAATTCTCTCTCTCTCTCTCTTTACCACTCCCAGGTCGGCCGCAGTCCTGCCAGTAACCGTATTTGATTTGAAAATATCCACAGGAATACGAGGTGACGTCCCACTTACAGCCAACTGGTCGGCAGCCAGATTCAACCTGTATAGGAACATGTATATTAATGTTTATAATGATATATCTTACAAGTGATTACTGAGCAAGCTTGATACTGGCTACAATTTCTGTAAGGCCTATTGAATGGAATGGTAGGGAATGTTTTCTAAGGATTTGAAAAGTTTTAGTAGGATAACCAAAGTAGAAGAAACCTCGGGATAATTTTGTATGGGATGTATCCCGTGCATATACATCGTATATATACTCAGACATGATTGAACAACTAAACCTCGTTTGGTGCCCATCTCAGTGTTTTATATGCGTTTAAGAAAATGTTTTCCTCAAAGTATTGTAGTAAGAAAATGGTAAATTTTATACACTTTGACAATTCATCCGTATTTACGTGTATTAAATGCTATTTAGTGAATAACATAGTAGCAAATATAATCTACTCACCCTACAAATACATCCCAGACACTTGTCAGAAATGCCACCTGTTTAAAAGACGATATTTTAAAATGAATTTTGTTAACTAGTATTGAGCTTTTTTGGAAAGAGTTTTACTTCCTTTCTGGTAAAAGGTCAGGTTATACAGTCGAAAGATCTTCCTTCTTACACATTTTTAAAAAGAAGTATTTTATATTTGTACCAAACTAATAAAATACAGTAAAATCGTACCATCAGGATTTCAAGTTTCCGGCAATTACGTAACCTAGAATAAAATTTCACTTAACATATTGGCTGTTTCAAATGCAATGCCAACAACTTTTGTTTTCAATTTAACGCTCTATAGGCCTATATGCCTTATCCTCAAAAATGCAAAACATTTTTGTACCTTATTTATTTTCCATACGATTACAGTATACAGTTATTGACTGGGTATGAGGGCAATATATGATTTGTTTGACCTGAAGGTGAAAATGTTGCCCGAGGCCGCACCTTCAGGTCAAACAAACAAATAATATGTTGCCCTCATACCCAGTCAGTAATTGTTTTGTTATACCCTTCACTTCAGATAGAACAATTAAAATGAAAACATATTTGAACAGATTTAATCAATATATTATTATAATCAATTACTTTCTTTGGAAAAGTTTGGCTTGATCAATAAAAATAAACAATAGGAGAGAATGAAAAAAAATCAAAAATAAAATTATTATATCACAAAAATTATTTATCAAAACAATCTTTCATATAGCAAACAACTCTTGCAGCTCTAAACTTCGGCTATTTCCGTGTCGCCGATATTGAACGACTATTAATTTTTTGTGACGTAGCAGTGACGCTGCGGTCTAACAATTCTCATGTTGGATTGGCAGGCCAGTCAACAATAAAATTGTTAGACCGATGCAATAAACATTTCTTTTGTTGGACTTTTTATTAGAAATAAATATATAGGAAGATATTTATAAGGGTATAACAATACCCAGTAATTGCATTAGAATACCTAAGGAATCTATGCCATACGTTTTCGCTACATTTATAGACTAAATGCAATAGATTTGCTGTACCCAATATGATGCCCACCATTTACTGAATCTATCTCCATCTAATAAAGCAGTTAAGTTGTGTTTCATATATTTCCTGTACCTATTTCAATTGCCATATAATTTGCTGCACCCATTTAATACATTCACAGAACTAATTTCATGTCATACGTATACCGTAACCAAATTTCATACCATACATTTGCCGTACCCACATTTCATACCATACATTTACAGCAGCTAATTTAATGCCAAACATTTGATGTACCGCATTCAATACCAAATTTATTCATTCTAATATCGCATATTTCTTGCACTTTATATCATTAACGTCTTCCTTGGAAGACGGTATACAGAGATGAAGTATTTTACAGTCTTCGGACTGTGCACTTCCTCTCTTTTGTGATTGGTAGAAATTGTTTGATAAGAAAATTTTCAATTTTTTCATTGGTTGAAATGCTGTTCAAGGCAAGGGAGATAATTTTCTGATGATCTAATTTTCGTACGACTTAACAATTTTTCAAGATTTTCAATCGTAAAAAAATATGACAAAACGAACAGTGGAAATTGGCTGTAATTAATTCGAAATATCGTGCTAGTTTTTTTTTTTTATAACAATTACCAAAAAAAAAAAACCCAAAACGTTTCTATATTTTCTTTGTTAACAGAATTGATCTCTATTGCATACAAGCTTTACAGCTTGTATGTATTCTTTTTCCCTTGTTTGCACTGTCTTTCTAATATTTCTGCAACACTCGGCACACCTCGGCCGATTCGCACCTCATCTACATATCACAAAGGTGACGGAATCAGTCGAGGTTTGCCGAATGATCTCGGCAGCAGAGTCGAAGTTTACTCAGACAGCTGAGCATCTGTTAACCTTTCACTTGGTAGGGCTTATGTCAGAAAAAAAAAACAATGAAGAATATACAAAGCCAAGAAATTTTCAAGAATTATACGGCCTGATAGGTTTAGGTCAGTTTACTTTTAAAGGTTGTTGCTAAAGACGGTAAGCTTTTTGAAAAAGCTCTACTTGTATATTTACTGTACTCATTACATTGCCATATACATGTATTTGCAGTACCCCCATATTATATACAGTCAAACCTCGTTATCTCGAACTCGATACGACCGACAAAAAACTTCAAGATATAGGAGTCTATATATCAAGGGTAAAATACTTAAAGAAAAAGAGTTTGGGACTTCCAAATCACTTTGACATATCCATGGTATTCGAGATATCGGTATTCGAGATACCGAAGTTCAGCTGTACTTAACGTACCATATTTAACCCCATAGATTTACCGTACCCAGTTTTTATGCCATCATTAACCATACTAAATTAAATATATCTCAAAGGCTTTTACATAATAAAGCCGCTTTAAACAATTAAGAAACTCACCGTATGCTATAGACGCAATGGCGGCGCAAGTCAAAAAAGCGACTATCATTCTGCTGGTTTGTAGTGAAAATGGCATCTAATATGAAAGAACTTTCTGCTTTATTTATAGGCTAAGATCCCCTACTCATTTCCGGCTTTTACAACATCCGTGAAAACAATTATATTCATATGATGAGGAAATATTATCAAGAGTGCATGTCATCCCCTTGTGTTTATCACAAAAATTTTGCCACATAATATCATCTTCTCGGATAAGTAGACATATTCAAATCAGAAAAATAAGTATCTCTGTACTGAAATTTCTAAAGAATTCATTTAGAAAAGAAGCTATGACAAAATGAATAAAATAATAAATAAGACCACCGCCAAGCAGAACATACCCTCGCGACTGGAAACATTTTTTTAAGAATATGGATATGAGTTATGTTATTTCAGTACGGGATTAATGCGAAATGAAACAAAATGGAGATGTCTCATCAAAAATTCACTTTCATTTTCAAAAATTGTGCATAATGCCTCAACACCTTCGAGCTGTAATGACAAAGGGATTTCCCTAATTATGTTAATTACTCAAAGCTCGTGATCGATTACATATTGGACACTTTCGTTTTCAAGAAACAAGTGTATTAGCAATACTAGTCCCCTATCGGCACATGTAGTCTGGTTCCACTTAAAATTAAAATGACGTAATTCCACCAAAAATCACTGAGGCGGAACATAATGCAAACTTAATCATCACGATAGATTCACATACCAAAAAATCAGTTTTTTTGTGGCAAACCTATAGTAGGGGACTTATAATTGCATACTGTGTAACTCACTCATAAAATTCGAGCTGAAATTTCGCGATTTTCTTAGAATTAATTGGTGTACCATTTCAAAGACCTTGAAATTTAATAGGACATGACCTATTGCAATGCAAAAGAAGTAAGCAAACTTTGATAAACATCTTCAGTCTTACCCACAAGCTTGTACCCCCCTCCCCCAATAAATAAATAAATAAAGTCAGATAACCTAAGTCTGTTAGTCAAATCCATCTCCTTTTGCTATTTTGCATTGATTTCGCAGATTTAATACCCGTCTATGCCTTTTTTGTAAACAAAGCAAGAAGACAGTTTTAGGCATGCTTTTCAACTCGAACAAAGGATTTTTGACCAAAGCAAATAACTTGATATATGATAGGCACAATGTCATCATGCTGTGCTGCAATGGTCATTCTATTGCAAGCTACCATAATCATCTATGTAGTTCAATTTTTGACACAGGTACAACTGTATATATGTAGATGGAATCGTAATTTATACTGGAAAACATATTATTGTCACATATCTAGCATAATTTTAGCACTGGAAGCTGCATCTTTAAGTTCACGTCAAAAATTCCATTGAGAAACTGACCCTATGTACAGATCTAACACATATATTTTAACGTAATTATGCGAGACCATATCTGCTCGCGAAAATTTCATTCTCGCGTATATTTGTATTAATACGTGAATATTTTGTCTCGCTTATAAATGCCTCATATCTATCTCGCCAAAATAAGATGTTGCGAAAATCCGATGATCTAGATTAACTAGAACCCGTATATCTGACTAGTACATCGGTTTGTATTATCTCCAGGGTAAAAGAAAAAGTAAACTTTGTTTTTAATATACCCGTGGCAAAAACCAGCGGTGGCTTGCCACATTTTGTTGTTGCATTAAAAGCATTGTAAATTTATACATTTTTGTGTTTGATAGTAACAACATTTGGGGAGGGGATACTTTTGTTTCATGTACACAGTGTAGACCTTAGCAAGTAGAAATCATTGCTTCAACTCAGATAATAATTTATGTTTTATATCCGAGGAGTTTTATCTTAGGAGTACGTGACTATCTTAAGCACATTCATAGGATAAACAGTCCTCAAAATTAACTTCCTTATTGCTTCATGCAGTGTACAGTGTAGATAGTTTCTAATGGATATTAAATAATCGCAATCACTATGGACGTTTCGATAAGGCATAAAATAAAAAAAAAAAGTCACTGCCTAATATATTAACACGATGGTCCTTTTTATAAAGTATATCGAAACGGTCACTGCTTAAATTATTCTACACTCTTTGAATTATTCAATCCAATCTCGGAACGCTACCAAAAACGTAACTGCAAGGTAAAATGAAATAATTTTTTTAAAAAGAGACAGGTGTTGAGATTAGATGTTGAGAGGGGTATTGACAAGTAAATAAACCTGTAAAAAAAACTCACCTTTGATCGCATGGCAAATTCAATCTGTATAGAGTAGTGTAGGGACAAAGATCGACTGAATATTTGCATTGTCTTGCAACGATACTCTTTTGCATGTTACACATATATATTTTAAATCTAAGGTAACTATTTTTCTATCTCTATTATCTTATAGATACCTAATACAGAACACGCCATATTTGATTTAAATTTAGAAAAACGTTACAAAATGTCAAATTTCATGACGATGTCGCGTTTCTGTTGTAAAGGACATGAAGATTTCGTATATGAGCTGAATTTAAAATGAAGGATCATTGGATGAAGAATTCAATATTACAGCTCTCAGTGTCAGATAAGACTCTCACATCTCAAAGCCAAAGAAAGGTTGGAGATAATCTAACAAAACAAACGAATCCAACACCTTCATATCGAAGTCACGATGTCATATCAAGGTTATGCATATGACAATGCATCAAATTTCATAGGACGGGAACCCGGGGGACCAGTAAGGATTTAATCATACTGTTTCCATTATTTGCGACATTATGTAAGCAAGGCTTATAAAAGCTATGACATTTTTTATCACCCACTCTAAGGCCCTATTATGAAAGAAAGACATTTTATAAAACTATACCTGGATGCCATTCCCTTTTGCAGAAACAAAGAATATGCATGAATTTATATTATGTGAAAAGTAAACATCAAAAAGATTTACACTCCTCTCTACAGATTTACAATCTTAATCTTTCGGGAAAGGGCAAACTTCGATGCACCTTTGACAAGGATATTTATCTACTTATAAGTGGAAATGGTAGAAAGATGTTAGGTACTACAGATTTCTGCTGAATAAAGATGGAATAAATGTTGAGAAATCTAGAAGTTCTCAAAGACTTCTGTAGCTCAACGAAGAAAAGAAACCAACCACAGGAAACTGGAAATAAAACCAATAATTCGATAACCGATTGATAAGGAATATCGATTATCGTCGCAAATAATTCACTTCTATATCTCAAGGCATTTAAAGATTTTCGCCTGTTCTACTAACAATTGATAAGAATGAACAACACTTTGGGAAAGACTGTCTTATTTTTTTGAAAAGCAAGGAATCTGATTTTTGTTGATAGAAAAAAACATATATTAATGAATATTTATCACAATAATGGACAAGCCAGAGCAGGAATTGGATGGCAGCAGGACTTTACCTGGCCAAGTGAGACCCCAACCAAACACGTAAGTTAAATTAGGCAAAACATCAGTTTTATATATATATATGTACTCTAGATTGAATTTCAATAATTTTTTTAGTTTCGTAATTCAAAACAAATTAATTTTCTTCATTGTAATCAAAGGGAAAAAACATTCTTTTTTTAATGAATGTCAGCGTGTACACTAAAATAAAATACAGATACTGGCATCAAATTCACAGCATAAACTGTATCTTTTTTCGTTTGTTTGGCTGCCTTTTCTTTTTTTTTTTTCTTTTTTAGATGTTTGTTAGATTGGTTTTGAGTATGGTGGCATAGTTCTGTCACCACTTTTCAGTTAACTATGTTGACTTATCAGATCATTACGTCGACTTGTCAGATAATTATTATATTGACTTATCAGATCTTTTTGTCAACTTACCATTTATTCACGTATTAAAAAATTCAATATGAAAACGCATCCATGTATGTGCCATCCAGATGACAGCATATTTTCCTGACAAGTCGACAAGAGGATCTGACAAGTCGTCTTAATTATCAGACAAGTCGACATAAATACACAACAAAACAACATATTTATCTGACAAGTTGACAAATCATCCGACAAGTTAACATCATTATCTGACAAGTCGACTAAACGTCTGATAAGTCGCTAAAACGGATGTGTGACGGTACATATTGTCGTTTTGTACATATTGTCGTCAGCGACAATATGTACTTACCCTCACTGCACATATTGTCGTCCATCGGTACATATTGTAGCTGGCGACAATATGTACCAAGACGAACCTTTTTTTCCTCCTGCATAATGGACGACAAAATGTACAGTCACGCATCCGCACATTTTGTCGTTGGCGACAATATACTGTGAACATTTGCACATATTGTCGCCGATTTTTTTTTTTTTTTTTTTTTTTTGTTAAAGATTATTTACTAAGGTCATGAAGATTTGAGAGATTGACACACACACACATACAGAGAGAGAGAGAGAGAGAGAGAGAGAGAGAGAGAGAGAGAGGATAGACATATATGATTATATGGAAGCATCCCCAGGTAGCGTAGATTAAAGTTTCTTCAAATCATGACCCCTGGGTCTAGGGTGGGGCCACAATGGGCGATCAGTTTTATCTCTCAGTGTAGTTTTTTTTTTTTAATTTGTTTCTTACTTTAACATTGAAAATGAATATTTTCTGTTTCAGTTAGAGTTTTCTTTGAAACGTACTTTTCATTGTGATATAGGAGATTACATATGTGGGTTTATAGAGTCATGAAATAGGTATTACGCTAGAACTATTGGTACCCGGAAGTGTTAGCACAATAAACAGAAAAAAGTCAAATATAGTATATCAGTATTCCTAGGTATTTAGCGATAACAGTCTGCATAATCTTGCATGCTATTTTATATATATATATATATATATATACTACCAGTGCGGTCTCTTAAAATTGTGTAAATATTAGTTAAACAGCACGATAAGGAAATCTGAACTTTTTTTAAAGATCATCGATAACTTTTCTATTCTTAGCTACCAAGAGTAAAATCAATGTTAATTCAAGTATAATACTTTTTTTTTTGGTTAAAAAAACCTACTAATTACACAACGTTTCTAAAAAATCAGAGTTCATTCAAAAAACAAAAAAAAGGGGGGGGGGAGGAAAAAAGAAAACAGTTTAAAGAAAGCGTTACAGGTACGTTGTATGTTACTCAAGATCGTGGATAGCCCTTGAATAGTGTGAAGAGGCCCTTGACAATACAAAAAAAGATTGTAACATGCTCTCCTCATATACATCGACTGATTAACATTATAAAATTCTGTAAATAGGTCTTCAATTCAGAGCACGCCTGTGGCATCTAGAGCTAGAGACACGGAAACTTCGGCAAGTTTCTCGTAAGTATGCACTAAACATATAGGTACAGAGAAATGAAGAAAACATTATTCAGGAAATCAATATCGTTTGATTAAATAATTCTGATATATATATATATATATATATATATATATATATATATATATATATATATATATATATATATATATATATATATATATATATATACCTGTCTAGTTTGTTGGGTATGCCAGGGACATCAAATGATTTTATCTGATAAAATCTGTAAAAGAGGAAACCTTCACGAAGTGGAAACAATTGACGCATTACAAATAATCGTCTTAGTTTCCATGCATCCGTCTACTTTCACATTCTTGTTAAATACTAGCAGACCGCCAAAGTTTTCACTCGACATATTTCTACTATACCGAAATCGTCAAACCTTCAGCCCTTTAATATAACCACGTTTAGAGTATGGTTTACGGATTTTTTGACACTATGATTAACAAATGTTAATTATGGTTAACGAATGAAAACTATATTTTACAATTGAGAATCTATATTTATCAACAAAATTTGTTAACTGTTATTTACAGACAGATAAACGTTAATTAGCATTCGCGAACTAAAGTATACAACCGTTTAATATAGTTTTACAGATAAAAACTATAGGTAAAGAATCGTTAACAATAGTTTATAGTTCTTAAACTAAAACCTAGTTCATCAATCTTTAAAATATGTTTTTTTTCTAATTTTTGTGAATTTGGCGTGGCATAAATATGACATCTGAAAGGCCAGTATCTTCTGATATATCTGTACACTTGTATGTTTGGCCCATATATATACAAACTGATTCCATCGATGTATAATATTTTTTAAATTTACAATCAAATTATGTATTTTCGATTCTGTTTCTAATCTATTTCAGAGGGGAGATGGCTGAACCTAATAATTCAGGGTAAAATTAAACACACCTTCGTATATAATATATGCTATATAATTAAACCTATTAAACCTTATAACTAAAGCAACAGCAACAAACCCCCCCCCCCAACCCCCCCATAAAAAAAAGAAATCATAAATTTTCTAGATATATAGCATATGGAAGATTTGTTACATAATGATAATGAGTCACCATAAATGTATTTCATAACTCAAACACAGATCAACATATTTTCACATCGAATAGTTAATTTTAAAGTCAGTGAGCTTTAAAACTTTAATATAAACTCTAGTTTGATTATTTTTTTTTTCTGTTTTCGGCATCTTTTTGATAGTGACGATGACAATGAGTGGGACTGCGCCGAGGAGAAACCTATGCATGGCGCTAACGATGACTACGATTCCTGCTGGGACGCTGTGACAAAAGTCGGACTCGTTATAGTAGGAATATTCCTCTTCATAGTTGTTTTCTGGTCGGCTTGTCTGTCAAGAGTCATCATTCACATCATGATATGGAAACTGAACCCACCCTATACCAACAGCAACTTCACATTGAACAAATTGGGGGGAACCTTACAAGTGCAGTCTGAGAGGATGGAACTTAAGGTTTGTGACAACATTGCTAACGGTTGCATAAAAGGTCAAGTTCTGAGGAATGGACTGCCGGTGTCGTGGGAGTGCCGTGACAAGACAGCTACCACTTGTTTGTTGTTGGAGGACATCCCCTCTGTTAACGTAGGCTGGATCTGGGGGCTGCTTATAATCATGTCTGTACCGTACTTATACACTATGGCCATGTCTCTCTGGAAATCATGCTTCAAGAAAAACAAAGTAGACAATTTTGATATGAGGGTATTTTTACTCGTAAGTATGCCTTATTTTTTCCCTATTTGTTTAGTGAAAGATTAAATTTCGATGTACATAAATGCCCTAAGCACACATCTTCATTTTACTGAGAATATGTATGACATCAGATTTTCATTTTTTCAGAGCTTGACAATAGAAATAATTCATTCGACTGGTCTGTGTATCATGGTATTTCTTGTGATGCCAGCTTTCGACCCAGCATCTGCCTCTGTTCTTCCGTACTTTGTATGTGTTATTCCGGTTCTCTTAAGCGTCAAGTTCCAAGTTAAACAAGAGGAGAACACAAAAGTGAAAAAGAATAGAAATAGACAATCAAGCTCAACAATGAACGGCGGGGTCAATAAAATAAACGTTCGCGAGGCCCCAGATGCCATGAAACATAATGACTTCAAGTATGATACAATTCCCTTCATAGGAGCTGTCATCTTCATTATGGGGATGGGATTTTTAACTTTATATGTATACTACAACTCGCAAAGCCATAACATGGTTACTACCCTTGTATTGCTGTTAGTATCAGTGATCATGGTGTCCGTTATTTGGTGGGAAAACTTTGTAACATCAAACATTACACAGAAGACCGATGGCAAAAATCAAGAAAAGTCTTTCTTGACGAAATATGTGAAATCTAAACGAGATACAGTGTCTATCCTGACCTACTTTTTAAAGATCGGGTGGACATTCCTAGCCACTTTAATCATCTATGTAATTCAATCCAAAGAAAGTACTCTGATTACAGTACGAACTTTACTGTATTTGGAGGATGCTGCAACAGTGCATACTTTAAGTGGAACCATCCGCTTGGAATCCAGGTCATATATAACGTTCGGGTGCATGACCTTTAACCCTTATCTTATGACAGTAGTATGTTTCATTCTCACTTTTGTGTTCTTCAAAGCGTCTCGTTATACATGTCGGATTGTATTACAAAGGAGATCTTTTGCCCCTCCGATTGGTCTAAATCTCTTGTTGATGCCCTTTGTGTTTGTCATACTTATGAAGTACCCACTAGCCTTTACAACGGAGGGATGTAACGTTCTACAGCCTTTGTGGGAACTTGACTATGGTAATTCTGTGGAGCGTCTATGGCCACTGATTGTTTCTGGTGTTCTTGGTTTAACGTCTTTGGCTATTTTAACATTATATGTTTGGTCAACTGACGGAGCGAAGATGGAGAAAGTAGAAAGGTATTAATGGAATACACGAACAAGTTATTAAGTTGAATCATATCTCAAGTTATTCGCTGAGTTAGCCGAAAATGTTGTTTATTTACCATTACAGATTGTTTATGAAACCTGCGTACTGTGGAATATTTCTTGACTTGTCTCTGTTGTTATCAAGGCGGCGATATCTATATGATGTTGACTATAGTACAAACAGAAAGGTAACATAACAAGAGCATTCCGAATTTTGAATTTTAATTGAACTTGGTTTTTGTTTGCAATTGATGCTTTTTTAAATCTTGGAAATGCTACTAGGCAGACGACAAGCCAAAAGAAGTGTACTCTCCCTTGGTCTATTTCTGTGCAACAATGTGGCATGAAACGGAAAACGAAATGACACAACTTCTGAAATCTATATTCAGGTGACGTTATAGCGATAAAATCATTCCTCACATCAACTTCTCTCTTGTAAATCATCATTAAGAATTAAGTATGATTTCTATATTACAGGGTTGATATGGATCAGTGCTGGAAAAGGCAAGTCCAGTCCATGAGACAAGAACAAAGAAGAAGCTTCTATGACGAGGATATTTATGATTTTGAGGGCGAGTAGTGAAACTCTTCTGTGTCTTGTTACACCTAAGTAGATAATTGGATAAAATGTGTTTATTAGATTTCAAAAGTTATGAAAAGATTTATATAGTTTTCAATATATTATGACTACTAGTAGTTTTCCATGTTTTTTCACTTTAAAAATTGTTTTTGTACATGTAGTTCACGTTTTCTTTGACGATGCTTTCAAACCCCGGAAAGTGAACGGTAAACTGCGAAATGGAAGGAAAGTGAACGATTTTGTAAAACTTCTTGAAGAATGTGTCCCGAAAACAGCTAAGTACGATTTCAAATTAATTTATTGTAATTGGAAGAAACTCATTCAGTAAAGTTAGAAATAATTTTAATATTCTAACATACTTCTTGTAGATCCATATATGGAAATTACGAGCTCGAACCTGTCAGAAAGTTTGAGACCCCATACGGTATGAAGTATGAATGGATGCTTCTTACAGAAGATGCCAAATTAATTGTTCATCTAAAAGATAAGATGAGAATAAGGCATAGAAAGAGATGGAGTCAGGTTATTGTTTAATTTCCAACAAAAATCTCAGTTTAAATTAAAACCTTGAAAGGAATCATGTTAATTAGTGTGTTATAACTTCAGGTGATGTACATGTATTATTTACTGTCCTTCGAGTTAAACAAGATGAAACCAAAATTGGAAGATAAATGTAAAGAACTATCCAAAAGTATGAAAGAAATGGTCCACAATCTCTCGGAGAACACTTTCATTCTAGCGCTGGATGGTGATGTCGACTTCAAACCGGAAGCGGTGACGCTGTTGTTAGACCGAATGAGAAAAAATGCAGATGTTGGAGCAGCTTGTGGAAGAATACATCCCATTGGATCTGGTTTGGAAATTATTATATCTAAAATGAGATATATTTCCATTTAATGCTTAAAAATAATAACAACTCATATGCAATGCTTTTAACATCAGGGCCAATGGTGTGGTACCAGAAGTTTGAATACGCAGTCAGTCATTGGTTGCAGAAAGCAACAGAGCATGTAATTGGTTGTGTTCTTTGCTCGCCCGGATGTTTCAGCCTTTTCCGTGGATCCGCCGTTTTAGCCGATAATGTCATGAAAACATATACTAGAACGGCAACAGAGGCTAAGGAGCATATACAATATGACCAAGGCACGTTAAGTATATCTATAAGTCAAAATGAATAACAAGAAAAATATAAAGTTCTAAAAATTTAATAAACCGGATAAAGTAATTTTTTGGATATATCAAGGGAATACTAGTATGCTTTTTGTGGTAAATTATCTGTACGTTTTAGGTGAAGATAGATGGCTGTGTACACTCATGCTTAAAGAGGGATTCCGAGTAGAATACTGTGCAGCTTCTGATGCATTGACCTTTGCCCCGGAAGGATTTAACGAATTTTATAAACAAAGGCGACGATGGGCCCCATCTACCATGGCAAATATTCTAGATTTGCTTCTAGACTGGAGATATGTGAAGAAAAATAATGACAGCATTTCAATGTTGTATATTATTTACCATATATTCCTCTTTGTATCTTCAATATTGACCCCTGGCACTATTTTCCTTCTTATTTTGGGCGCTATAATTACAGCTTTTCCTTCCATAGAACCGTGGTTGGCATTGATTCTCAACTTGGTACCTGTTATTGTTCTATCAATGTCCATCTTCTTAGCTAAAGAAGACACACAGGTATGACATATTAGTAATTTTCTTTTTGCAAAAGTGCAAAAATGAATAAAAAAACATAATCTTGTTACATTCATTTCCAAAGACCGTGTCAACAATAAAAGAAAGTAGCTCTGATTTCCTTTTAACAGCTCATGTTAGCGGGAATCATTTCTACGATATACAGCCTCGTTATGATGGTGGTGTTAATCGGTTTGATAAAAGAGGGCGTGGAATCACAGTTCTGTTCTGTCACCACGGTCTTTTTCTGTTTTGTGGCGGGGGTATTCGTCGTTGCTGCGCTAATACATCCACAGGTACAAATTTATCTTTCTGGCTTTTAATATGCGTTTTAATTTCTGTTGCACCTGATCTGTCTTTATACTTGAAGGAATTTACGTGCATATTCCATGGCCTGTTGTACTTTCTGGCAGTACCTTCTATGTCAATGCTCTTGATTCTTTATTCCCTCGGAAATATGCACAATATAAACTGGGGAACTAGAGAGAACAAGACAGCCGCGGGTCAGGATGTAGTTATCAGAAAGAAAAATAAATTGGAAGGACAGACATGTTCTATTGGGGACTGGTGTCGGTAAGTATTTTCAAAGCAACAATCATATCATTCAGTTTATTTTTTTTTTTAACTTTTTGTTTCCTTTTTTTCTCCCTATTACATATGATAGGTCATTGTGATAATAAAGTTTATGATTTATGGATTGTTGGTACAAATCAGTTTTATAAATATAGTATATGATGTTGGCATAATATTTTTTGTAGCTGTATGCTTTGCGTTCGAGAGATTCAAGAAGAAAGTCAGGAGGAGACAAAGAATGAAACATCCAAAAATACGATAGATATACAGGATAAAAACAAAGTAGAGACCACGCCAATCCAAACAATTGATGTTCAGAAAAAGTCTTCAGTTGAAAAGAAACCTACTTCCATAGATACACCTAAAGGAGAAGGCAAGAATGCCTTATTATATCAATAGAGTGCAGAATCAAATATCCGTTCTCTATCTCTCATGCATTATTTATTCATGGTAGATAACATACGATTTTCAAAAAGCCCATGACTTCCATCAGTTATTATAACAAAAAGATTTATTAAGGGATATATTTTGGAGAAACTTTACTATTAGAAGTGCAACGATACATGTAAAAAGATTTCATAATCAGTTTTAATTATGCTTTTTTATGTATTGTTGTATTAAAACTCGTAATGGAAAATTTTGACAAATATAAAAGCATATATATTTGCAAACGGAAATGATAAAAGCTTAAAAAACTATAATAAATTCATATCTTTTTATACAAAAGCAGAAAGTATCTCTATCGATAAGAAAATCTTGATTCATTTTGTCAAATTTTTACGGATAGTGTTCATTTTCAACATTTACTTGAATGATATGTTTATACCAAGAAGTTCATATAAGTTTGATTCTTTTAGATAAAACAAAGCACGGTGATTTCAAGAACTCTGAAGATATTCCAGAAGAGGAAAGAAAATTCTGGAGGGGTTTGATAAAAAAGTATCTGAAACCAACAGATATAAATCCAGACGAACAACAGAGGGTACAGGAAGACTTACTAGAACTTAGAAATAAGGTTTTCTTCTTTGTTTTTATACTGAATGCTTTATTCGTAACGATCGTCTATGTGCTTACACAAGTCAATGCCTACCAGGGGACGCTTGAGATTCCGCTCCCTTGTAATGTGGCAGGAGGCGAGCAGGGAGTTATAGAGCCTATCTCGATAGCCTTCACAATGACCTTTGGTCTGTTACTACTTATCCAGTTCTTCGGAATGATTTACCACAGAGTGTCAACTCTGACCCACATTATTGCATCAACCCGGCTAGAAAAGCAAACACAAATAAAAAGACCGACGTTTGGTGGAGAAGCGGGAAGGGAAATGGCAACAACGATAGATGAGGCGCCTAAAAATGCGGAATTAACGGGTGGGGAACCAGACAAGCCCGGAGATGGAGCTCGGAAAGGTTGGAGCAAGTTAAGGGCAAGCGTGCAGGTAAGCTCTGCTCTGCGATCAATATCAGGAGAAAGAAGGAGAAAGCCGGAGGCTTTAGAAAAACTTAGAAAAGTGATAAAAGACGCAACAAAAAATCCCATAAATACTATACAAGAAGATGAGGAAGATGATGACGTTTTAAGTAAATATCCCAACACACCTGTAATAATACAGAGTATCAGAAGTCTTCAAAAGGAAGAAAATGAAATGCCAAGTACTTCAAACGTCTAATATGGAGAGGAAAACAATAAAAAATCTCTATTTAGGATAAAATTTTTATAAACGCAAGTTCTATTATTTCTCTTTGAATTTCAATTAATGTAACAGCATCAAAATGTTAACATTTCTTATAACTTGTTTTGTGCATGTAATAAAAAGAGTGAAAAATGGAAATCGCCTAAGTTAATATTCTGTTCATGTAATTTTTCTCTGAATTGCAAAAAAAGTAAAATGAAAATGAGCCTAGGATGATAAGTGAATACCTTGTTAAAAGGAATGAGGAGGTACATGTAACTAAAGATGAAAAGGTAAGTTTCATTTAAAGTCGTTTTTATGAAAACAAAAAAGTCATATTAAAAACTTGCCTTCAGGTAAGCTAACTTTTAAAAGCGTTTTAGGAATAATGATAGAAGGACAGAGACCAAAAAATTGGAGAAGTGATAAACATTTTGTAACAATGATCACACAAGTCTTGGGTTGCATAATCTTGTATGGACATGTGTCTTTTTTTTTTAAATTCCACCAACAGAAAAAGTATATTGAATCACGTTAAAGTCAGTTGTATACAACGTACATATTTAGTTGGTACAATTTAATCTTAGTCGAACATAGATTAGTATGTGCGGGTGGGGGTGGGATGGGGGAGGGGAATTCTATTGTAATAATATGGCATTATAAAAAATACATGCAGTATGAATAGTCAACACAATTATTTCTTTCTTTTTTGACCTGCAATGCATAATATTACCTTGCTTTTGAAATCATTTGCCGATATTTTACCATATCTAAAATTGATGCAATTTTTTTTCATGCATCTTGAAAATTATTTTAGCACCATACTTTCCTTTTGATTTTATTTAGACTCATTGGAAAGTTTTAAATGATGGTTATGTCCCTTTTGTTAGTACGACGCTTAAAAATACCAAGTATTGATAATTGAACTTTTGCAAGTAATATTTTACGATTAAATAAACCTTTGTATTATAAAATCAAAAATGAGGTATTAACATAAAAATGGCACCTATCATTTTTTTCTCGTTTGCTTACATTTATCGTTGAGACATGGTTATGACACTTATGTAATTGAAAAGAATTAACCTTGAGTTATTATGACACGGACAACTATTGAAATCTTGGTGTATCTAAAAATTGTTCGAAGGAAAAATAATTTTTAAAATAATGTGTACATTACAATAAAAACAAGACATAAATCATATCAAGACCAACCCTGTTTATCCCGAATACTGTCAACCAAAGTCCTTCAGTAGACTGATTGAACATTTGTACTGGTTTGTAAGATTGACCTAGGTATTAGGTGGTAAAACATGTAGTATAAGAAACGTTCTCTCTCATGTGGATAAATATAAAAATAAATATATAAATAGAAACATATTAAATAAGGCTCTTTTAAGTTTTTAAAGAGTATTTAACTGCAAATTGAAATAGTTCCAATATTTTAAAATAATGGATTTGTTGTTCTCATTTTTTAAAATCCTAATGATTAGATGAATTGTTTGTATAAAGGAAATTACGAATTCTCGTTATTATCATTATTACCGGTACATGTATCTTTTTTTTGTTTTAAGTAGTCATTAAAGGAAAGGTCGAGTTAAGTTATTTTTCTTTTATACATATGCAGTCATAGTAAAGTAAGTTTAGAGAGTTATTTAAGATAACATATTATCCATAACCCACATTGCTAAAATAAAAAAGAGTTTATTATAGTAAATGAACATATTAAAGTATTTATCACACCATTTTATAACTGCACAGACATTAAAAAAATTGGGAATATTTTGAATGAAAGGAGCCTCTAGGGAGCTATAAGTTTGTTTAATAGGTTTTTTTTTTATATTTCAGTTTTCAATATTAAATTAGTAATTTCTTGCGATCAACAAGTTGATTTCGAATGGCAAATAAAACATACTGTACTTTCGTTTCACTTAAAGGAAAATTGAATAAAAAAGTTTACTTTTGTTCCAGTTCTCTTGTAAATTTTCAACCCTACTGGTTCCAAATATATATTGAAATACATCAACAAAGGGAGATCTTTTTTCACTTAATTATAAACAAAGTGTTCAAAAGACCATATTACAAAACAGTGCCATTACTAGTCAAATATTTGAATTTAATTTAAAGAATACACTTGTTTAAAATCCAAGCATATATTATTACGTCGGTCTAACAATTATGCAGTAAACAAGTGCAGTGCAGAGCCTATAGATCCGCGCAACTTCAATGTTTTATTTTAATCAATTATGGAGAGCATTGGCAAAAAGACTGAAAATGGTGAAACAACGATACCAGGTCAAGTCGTGCACGAAAATAAGAGGTAGATCTTTTGATTTAGTAATATAGTTCATTGATTTTATACAACATATTATAACTAATTAACAAAGAAAAATAAAATTTCTAGATATTAACGTATACGGTATAAATATAATATGTATATGTATTTAATTTTGTATATATATATATATATATATATAAAGCACTAAAAATGACCAATGACACGAACAATTAAAAATTGTCATATTTTTGGGACGCCCCGTCCCTTCCTCGGGACAAAGAAAAAAGTAAAAACTTATAAAGTCATAAAAACAAGGGAAACAGAGAAACAACAAGAAAAATACCAACTTGCACCACAACTAACCTAGAAAACACTATAATATATTTACATTGTTACATGTTTAATTCGAAAGTTTATAACCAATTGTTAAGAAAGAAATACGAACCGCTATGAAATACGTCCGGTCTTTCGAGTATACTCTGATGAAGTCCGATTTACGTAAATGAACGGATTAATTATTGCTAATTAATTACGACTATGTAGTAAATCGAACATTGTCCTATTCTCTCAAACTAGCGTAACCATACATGAAACATGTAAAAGAAACCAAAGAAAGAAAATATAGAGGGGAAATTTTAAAACATGAATTTGGATCTTTTATAAATTTGGAAATATTTTTAAACTGTTTATCGGATAAAAGAAATAATAAACAAAAATTTAAGAAATAAATATGTTAATTTGTGTGTCGTTCCAGAATTGATAATGCGAATTAACTTTAAAGTTTATACTATATGGAGAGAATGGTCTTGTTTGTCTTAATCAGGAATCAGATCTAGTTCACGTTCATCCTGGTGAATTCATTCAGAGGTTGAAATGTTCCCCAACTGGTTCATTGATTTACTTGGTCTTAATGGTCGAGCGGTGATTATTGATTCTTCTACGGCTACGGAGATCTCCCGTTTCCCCAAAATACAGCTTTGACATACCTCGCAGCTGATGAGATATATGCAGTTATCTGTTTGGCAGGACAAGTTCCCTAATATTCTGTAACTGCGGCTTGTTACCGGACTGTTAAAACTGTCTGTGTCAGTGCTTGCTTACAGAGAAGAATCATCTGTCATAACAAGTTTTAAAACCATTATTAGGTATTAGGTTGCCCAATCTGGTTCTTAGTACGATATCCTTCAAGTTCCTAGGGCGCCTATAGGGAGCCAATGGATGTTCGTTAAAGACATCAGTCATTCTTTTGTTGTAATAAAGAATGAGATTTTTTTAAAAGAATATCGTTGAGTTTCTTAAGGACGGGATAGTATGTGGTAACCAGTGGAACCCTGTTGCCATCTCATCAATAGATTATTACTTAATAATAATCTACATGAGTGAAAAATTCTCGAATGGGACGTAAAACAACATACAATTAATCAATCAATCAGTCATGTATAGTTACGCTATTTTGAGAGAATAAGAAAGTGTACGATTTACTACTTGGTCGTAATATATTAGCGATAATTAATCCGTTCCATTATGTCACCACAGTATACCCGACAGACTGGACGTATTTCATAGCGGTCCGGATTTCTTTCTTAAAGGGGCCTAGACACAGTTAGTTGCATTGTTTATATCTTAAATTTCGTTGGTTATTCAAAACATTAAACCAGTTAAATGAATTGAACTAACATGAATATTCTTAGAATTCAATGACATTCTTCTTTACATCACGTAAAACATTTGTTTTTGTACACAGGGCACGAGCTCTGTTATTGTAAATGTTTACGTTTTACCTGGTGTGTTCAATTTGTTTAACTCTGCACACATCACTGAGCACGGACTGACAATACTGGTGAGCTTGCTTTGCTTTCTCACATTTCTACTCTGAATTTTCTGGATTATAGTTTTAATATTTTTTTATTAATACACAACAAAATTTCTACTATACTTAATTATTAATGATAAAGTTTACTTTGTGCAGAGCAAGTATTTGTGTTAATCAAATGCATCCCGAAATTCGTAGTTATAATAATTTCTAGATAAAAGAAGTTTCTAAACATGATTTTATTACATTTCCGTATAAAATGCTCAAGCAACATATAAGTCTTGATAATATATAGAAAATTTGAGAAACTATCAACTTCAAATCTGTGTCCAAGCCCCTTTAACAATTGGTTATAAACTTTCAATTTAAACATGTAACATTGTAAATATTTAGTGTTTGGTAGTTTAGTTGTGGTGCTAGTTTTTTTTTTTCTATTTTCTTTGTTTTCATGACTTCATTATCGACCACAGCAGCGGCCAATATATTTGTGGTTGTGTTAGAATGTGCACATGGGGAAATGAGACGCTATTTTTTTTTATTGCTTCGTTGGAATAAAACAAACATAAAATTTACGAATAAAAGTCTTAAAAAATTGCTTAAAACTAAGTCTAAATATTTGTTATTATGTTTCGATTTGTTTTTCATTTCTCGTCAGATATTTATTAATTTAATAATTTTACAAAAAGTTGTCATGAACTGCTCCCTAATATTGGCGTGCGTAAGATATAAAAAGGAAACCTATTGGGTTTCCGGATATGAATTACATTCTTTGTCAAGAATGAACAAAATTAAATGATTTAATATTCTTTTGTTAATAGTTAGGAATAACGTACATTAGACTGCAACTCTATACAAAATGTGTTCTCAAAACAGGTGCTTTTGTGTCTAACGGATGCAAATCTTTTAGAAATATTTTAAGAAATTCAAGAGAAAAACATGTTTTGCACACTACACTTTTTTAAAAACCTATGTGGAGAATATCTACCCGCTCATTTTCCGATTTTTTATCGGTTGATTATATTTTTATAAATAATAAATCTGTATTTACTTTATTATTGAAATAGGTATTATAGAAAAGAAAGTAACCGTGATACTCAATCACATATGTGTATCTCCTATCCTGGAACAAATTCGATCAATGTAAATATGCAAAATAGACAGATAATTGCAGTATACAAATTGTCAAATTATCAGATCATTATATTCAATGCGCCAAGTGAACCTAGGAGAAATGATTGTTTACAAGAACTTTAAATGAAGGACAATAAGTGGGGAATTTTGGATTTAAACTTCCGTTTTTTGAATCCCATTGAAGACACGGTCTTGCTTTTACTATTCAAAGATGGTTACAAAGCTTGCATATTTTAATTAATGTATTTTTTTAATGTACTCATATAATAGGTCAATCTTAGCATAAATTGATGGTTCTGAACCGCAAATAAATATTTCATTCGATATTTACTTGTTTCATAGCAATGTGTATCAGATACAGTATAATATCTCACAATTCCAGCAGTAATGGTAAAGTTCCTCACAAATCTGACAGTGGAAAGAAGAAAAAGAAATCAGGAGATACAAAGAAACAGCCTGAAAGCGAACAGTATGTAGATAACAACTGAAAAAACCTCATTCAATGAGGAATCTGCCTCTACATCCACCATAAAAAAGATCGAATCCAATTATTTATTTAATGCATGTACAGATAAAAAAAAAAGCAAAATGTATTTTTATACCCCCGCTATGAAGAAGAGGGGGGTATACTGTTTTACCCTTGTGAGTCTGTCTGTCCTCCGTCTCTCTCTCTCTCTTTCTCTCTCTATGTGTGCTTGTCCAACTGTAACAAATTTTCGTCGCATTTTTCTCAGCAACTAGTTTCTATAGGTGCTTGAAATTTTAGAACACTCTTTTCTTTGGCATGCCATATGGTGGGATTCTACTTTGTAAAAATTCAATGTCAACTTCCTGTTTATCCGTGCATCCGTCCATAACAAATTTTCGTCGTAATTTTCTCATCAACTGCTCAAGGCAGATGCTTGAAATTTTAAGCACACTCTTTGTTTAGGCATTCCAAATGGTGGAATTCATTTTTCTACGAATCCGATGTCAACATCCTGTTTATTCCTACCACCTTAAGTACCAATATTTCTTTATCTAAAATTGTGTATATTCACATTTGAGCGTATATTCACATCAGAGTGAGGGTATTACTAGTGAGCATTAGCTCACAGACTTCTTGTTTCAAACTATTCTTAAGTACTGTACATGTTTTAATATTCAAGGTTTATATACATTGCATTTTTTAAGGGATTATTTCTAAGTAGAAAATTTTCTTGAATAATGTCCATGAGTTTTTTCCAACATTCTGCAAATTAAATATTCGATTCCTTCAATTAAGTTTGTTTTTAAAATATTGTTGTAGGAATGAATACTGGGATTTAGTCGCTGAAACACCACCAATAAGCTCTGATGATTCAAACACCTGTTGGAATGTTTTAACAAAAATTTGTGTGAATATATTCAGTATCATCCTGTTTTTAAGCGTTCTTGTATCAACAGGATTAACGAGGATTATCATTCATTTAATGATCTGGAAGCTGAATCCACCGCAAGCTAACTCAACCACAACAATAGATAAATTGGGAGGTCTTCTTCATCTTGTGGAAGACAAAACATTTCTTAAGTTTAACTGCACTCAAAACAATTCAAATAACACCCAATGTGCTTCTTCATATCTTAGAAAAGAGGATTTCCCGGCGGTTTGGGAATGTGTACCAACAAGTCCTCATTTATGCCAATTATTGGAAGAAACACCCTCGGTAAATGTGATGTGGATTTGGGGTCTCATTATTGCTATAGTGGTTCCGGACATCTGTACAATTATTCTTTCACTATGGAGACTCTGTTTTAAGGAAACTCAAAAATTTGACTTAAGAATGATGATATTGGTAGGTTTCGTTCCGTTTTTAAGGGGAAGAAGGACCTTGAGCTGAAAAATTACTTGTCATTCAATTTTTTTTATATTTTGTATATTTCTAATTAACTATGTCCCACATATCTTAAAGCAGAAATATCATTAGGTTTCTGACCTTATTTTCGAGAGATTGATTAACAAATACTATGTCCTACAGTATCTAAGTGGAGTTTTAATTCTCCATGTTTCCGGGCTCATTACTCTGTCCACAATGGGATTTTTTAAGCATTTATAAAAAAAAATATGTAAGTGGACATGTATCTTTTAAAATATTTTTGAGTAGAATAGGGTTTAAAATTCGAAAAAGCAAGTTTCTTCTATCACTCTGCATCTGGATAGGGAAAATTACGTACTTTTTAAGACAACTTAAACAACATAAAACGTAATTTACAAAAAATTCTATCATTCAATATTTTTAAATTTACCTTGAAATGCAAGTCCTTCGTATTATTGATTAACTGTAAAAATTTCGAATGGTGAAGCTGACCTCAATATTGCACAGGACATCGTAAAAGAAGGCATAAGCATGACAAAACCGTGTAATGTTTACATTTCCCGAGTACGGGAAAAACCAACTATGACGTCACGCGTAAGCTAAATAAGCGAAATAAGATATGCCTACATAAGATTTCCGTCATCAGCAATGCAAAAATAATTTTTGCGTTCCCCGTTTCTCAGAATATTTCATCAAATACTGATTATGACCTGTTTTTACATAAAAATACCGCCCCTGTATTCACCGAGTATGATCTTGCTGTACTAACAGATCGTGTATGACGTCACCGACTTGTTGGACGCGCAGTTTAGGGAAACAGAGGAGTTGATCAAACAATTTCATAATTTGTTAATGTTTACAAGAATGTTAAAACTTTTTATTTTTTATACATAAGATGGTAATCAAAGTAAACAAATTGTCAAAAATTAATACAAGAACTGATGGTTTACACGTTTTGCACTTATATAAACGGAGACGTAGTTAAACAGAGTCATGTGACCATGTGTCCTTCATCCCCTTAAGTCATATTTATTTGCATTCTATTTTCCACAAACACTTGTAAATATAGTTGTCCGAGTTGCTCCAAAACAGAAAGAACAAACACAATAATAGGTAAAATGAATATTTTTTTACTTGTTCTCTTAATACCTTCTTTCAGAATCTAGTGGTGGAGACACTTCACACAACAGGCCTTTGTCTTCTGGTTTTCCTTGTGCTGCCAGCGTTTGACCCAATCACTGCTTCTCTTTTGTCTTACTTAATCATTTTCTTTCCAGTAGTTTTTAGTGTGTTTTGTGACTTCAAATTCTCTGAAAGGGCTATAAAAGCCATGACACACAAAGTGGTCAATGGTTCTTGTATTGAAAAAAGAGAGTTGCCTGAAAGTAAAAATGATACTGATATTGAAAAGGAGTTACCAGAAAGTGGAAATGGTTCTGGTATTGAAAAAGAAAAAGAGTTGTCAGAAAGTAAAAATGGTTCTGGTATTGAAAAAGAAAACGAGTTGCCAGAAGGTACAAAAGGTTCTGGTAATGAAAAAGAAAACGAATTGCCAGTAAGTAAAAATGAAAATAACACCAAGGCATCTGCCAATGTCTTCAATATTACACAAATAGTTGGACTTTTATTTTTTCTTATCTCATTGGCTCTTGCAGGTTGGTATATTTACGAAAAATCAGGAAAGGAAAATGTTGCTTTGATTCTTTGTTTCTTATTAATATCTTTGCTACTGGTTTCCGTAACTTACTGGGAAAATTTCCTAATGTTTAGTTCCCCTATAACTCTCGAAAAGGATACAAATCAGCTAGAAAGTATAAAAACAAGGCTAAAAAAATTTCTCATGGAATTTATCCGATCTAAAAGAGAAAAGGTTTCACTGTTTACAGCTCTCTGGAAAGTGGCTTTGTCTATTTTGTTTCCATATATCATTTTTTCAATAATGTCGACCGATGATTCAATTGCCCTAGACACAGTTAAAGCAATTTCTTTACTTGGGACTTCAAAAGTAAAAACATTGACGGGTAAAGTTGTTCTTGAATCCAGGACTTATTTTTCTTACGGCTGTGGAAGACATGATTTGGATATTCTTATAATAATTTGTGTTGTTCTTGGGTTTGTTGGATTTAAGAGTGCACGATTTGCATGTAGAGTCAATCTTCAGTACTTTTGTTTTTCTTTACCTCTCGTTTTAAGTTTGCTGGGTACTCCTCTTTTGATTATACCCGTTATGATGTTTCCGTTGTTCTGGACGGCTCAGGACTGTAACATTGTGCAACCTTTATGGAAGTTAAGACTGACGTCCACTGAAGACATATGGCAGGTGATTGCATCTGGATGTTTTGGATTTGTTGCGTGCATTCTGCTAACTTTATACGTTTGGACAAACAATGGATCCAAGCTGGTAAAGTGCGACAGGTAAGGCTGCAAAATAAGATGTATGAAAATTATATCTGGAGTATTAATTTCTTTCGTTCATTTTGTTTAAATACGATAATATTACCTTATTGAATATATATATATTATTAAGGTATTCCATCCCTAATAGCCTCAGATTCAATGAATTTGAATACTTGTGGATGGAATACTTGGTATTTTTTAGACATAATTCCCATTTATTACTATTAGCATGAAAGAATGGAATGTGTCCTAATTTATGACCTTGACCTTTGTTGAAGAGTTATCTCCCTCTTTTTTTTAAGTAATAAAAATCAATTCTAAAAAATCTATACGGTAAAAAAATGTTTTCAAATGTCATTGTATTTCTAATGATTTAATGCATCTTTCCACCACAGTATTTATTGATATCCTTATTATTTGAATTTTTATTTTAAAAAAATGGCTTGTCTCCGTAGACTTCAATACAATTTCTGTTAATTAATTACTGCTTAATTAATTACATTTTTGAAACTTTTTTTTGGTAAATCCTTTTCTACTGTAAAATGCTTTGAATTAATATCAGAGTATTATATACGTGATGGACATTTAAGGATAGAGAATAAGGTCCTATTAGGGATGGAAAAAATTAATGTTATTTGTAATTTATTTGCAGATTATTCCGGCAACCGCCATACTGTGGAATTTTTCTAAATATTTCTTTACTTCTAACGAGATGTAAAGACACGACGGAATAGAAAATGGAGGAAAATAATGAGGTAAGTCTTCATTTTTTAAGGCTGCTTCAAAAATGCCTTTCTTCCAGATGAGAAGTTTATTTTTCATAAAAAAAAAATACTATTTGCAGGAAGCAGAAAAATATACGGGATCAATCGACAGTGATAAATACTATAGGCCATTTGTGTATTTTTGTGCAACTATGTGGCACGAGACTGAAACTGAAATGACACAGCTACTGAAATCCATCTTTAAGTGAGTTTTTCGTCCAGGTAATACAGATTAAATGATCAAATTTAGTGTTAAGGTGGAGCAGGTCTACAGACATGAAATTTATAAATGATTGCAGGGTTGATTATGAACAATTCATTCAAAAAGAGCACGAAGAAAAAATCAAAGCAAAGAAAAAGTCATATATTAACGAAGACGTTTATCAATTTGAAGGTAAAATTACATTTATATTTATATGTTTAGAAAAATTAAATTAGCAGTACATGAAATGAAAATAATCCAACCATATTTGAAGTTCATACCGCTTGAAATCTGTTCTAGTGCACGTCTTTTTCGATGACGCATTTAAACCGAGGAAAAACAAAACTGGTAAACTAATGAAAGGCAGAAACGTTAATAATTATGTCAAGACACTTGAGGATGTGATTCCAAAAACAGCTAAGTAAGCTTATTGATTTGAATTGATATAAAACCAAACAACTTAAAAACTCTACAGCAAAAAATGAGAATGACAACGTACCGATAAATTTATTTTAATAATTATACAGATCAATATACGGCGGATTCGAGTTAGGCGAAGTTCAGCGATATGAGACCCCTTATGGAGCTAGATTCGAGTGGGAGCTACTATCATCACAGAAACTTGTTGTGCACCTAAAAGACAAAACGAAAATAAGGCATCGGAAACGTTGGAGCCAGGTACAACACACAACACACACACACACACACACACACATACAGAGAGAGAGAGAGAGAGAGAGAGAGAGAGAGAGAGAGAGAGAGAGAGAATTTGAAATAAAAAAGGTGAAGATAACGAACAGTGATCGAGCTCAAGAAATCTATAAACAAATCTGTGAGAAGCCACAAAATACGGACCCCTGGAAATTCGAGAGGTGGGATCAGGTGACTAGGAGGAGTAAGAATCCCCTGTTGACCAGTCACACCCGCTGTGAGCCCCATGTATTGATCACGGACTAGTAGATAGATCATCTTCTAGTCAAATTTAGTATGAAAACAAAGTTTTAACAATAAGTATGAAACAAATCAGCTAAAATATGTTATTGGAATCCCTGTAACATCGACTAAATGGTCAGTATCCTGCCTCGCTTTAAAAAAAAACTACATGAAAAGATGAAATTAAAACACTTGAGTGACCTTCAATTCGAGAATCACCAAAGATTCTGTCAATCTGATAATTCTGATTCATATTTGAAAGTTTTACTTGCTATAGACGGTAATGGCCAACCAACAATTAAAATGTATGTATGACAAGCTAGATGACGTCAGTTTTCTCATCGTCAACTTTCCGTATTTATGTATGAAATTCCTCTTTCACCTGCTTATGGTGTTTGTTTTCCAACTAATGGACTTTTGCGAGAAGCACTGACTTTTACAGTTGACTGTTTACTTTGACATTTAAACCTGTATCATGTATGGAGGTACAGAATTGATAATAGATGGGATAATATTTCTAGTGGTCATAGGTATGGTGTTAGGGGCACTAACATGTGAAGGCCGGAAGTTAAGGGTAGGGTGGTTGTCGTTTTCTTCAAAGGCAGTTTATTTGTGCTTTGAAATAACCCGTCATTTTCGTTTAATTAAATGTTGACCTAAATATTTATATTGTAGAAGAGCTTCCGTACATTGTCCTAGTGTAAAAGTAAGTCGTCAACTGTAAAAGTCAGCGCTCCTCGCAAAAGTCCAATTTGATACTCAAGAGTATGCATTGAGTACAATCAATGTTTATCTGTCAAATTATTGATGGGTGTAAAGGTTTCACTAACTTCATTTAAAGTTTACTTTCTTTAGTCGTTTTAATTACTTTATTAGTTAGCAAAACCTATCATTGGGTCGTACTCTGACTGAAATATTTCATACCAATTCTTAAGACATTGTTTTTATACTTTGTCCACATGATCAATACATAGGGTCCAAGTTGGATATAACCGATTGACAAGGATTCTTACTCCTCCCAGGCACCTGATCCGATATCTGGATTTGCCAGGGTTCCGTATTTTATGCCATGTAAGCAGATTTATATTGTTTGTTAGTTTGTAGATCGATTGCTGTTCCTTATCTTCAGCCATTTCATTTTAAGTACATACTGTGAATCAATTACCTTGTCATGTAACTTATTTGGAAATTTATTATTTTGATTTGAATTTAAGGTGATGTACCTTTACTATCTTCTATTATTTAAAATGAATAAGACTAAAGAAAGACAAAAAGAGGAACTGCAAAACGGTGATGGAGACTTAGAGGAAAAAATGAAGAGCTTTGCTAATAATACATTTATACTAGCATTGGATGGGGACGTAGATTTTGAGCCGGAGGCAGTATCACTTCTGCTTGATCGCATGAAAAAGGATCCATTGGTTGGGGCTGCCTGTGGTCGTATTCATCCCAAAGGTTCCGGTGAGATATAAAACGATATAGATTATTAAACTTGTTTCTGAAATAGTGCTTTCATTTTTGAATGATATATTTTTTATTGTCCCAGCAATATATATATATATATATATATATATATATATATATATATATATATATATATATATATATATATATATATATATATATATATATATAGGGTTCATTGAATGGTGCCAAGGTTGTGGAGCCCTGGTTTCACATTTACAAACTTAAGTTTTTATACACATGTTTAATCAGTCAGGACAATTTTTCATTGATTAACAAACAAATATACAAAAAAAAGGTAAACAAATCCTTTCACGTTCCATTCATCTAATAGGTCTATGTATCTAACAGAAAGTTATCATATATAAGGTAACGTAAAATGATTTTTAAAAAAAAAACAATTTTAACAAACATAAAAAACAGTGAAGAAAAATGATCCGATTTCTTTTCAAATATAGCCAAGTAATTTTTTTATACATGAAGAATTTAAAGTGTAATTTGGTATTGAAACCATCTATATGTAAGGTATACACCTTCAGTGATACTAAAATCAATTTATTGTGTTTTTGCACTTCATTTTGTTTACTTTCAAATCCAAAATATTTTCCCATTTTCTTTTATATTTAGGTTTATACCATTTTGATGAAATTAATATGTCATAAAAATCTCCGGATCCCTTTTGACTCTTAAAAATTGTTCTAAATAAATTGGGATAGTAAAATATAGTTATTTAATATCTGAATATTGAAATTATACCAAAGTGGATCTAAAATAGACAAGCATTGAGACTCTATCGTCATTCTTAATTCATAAGAAAAAAAACATTAAAACTCTTTCCAAAATGGTAAGAACCATTGTAAAACTGTTACCCTTGCAAGGAAGAAATTCCACTTCTGGAGTTATACTGTACAGTACATTAAGATTACTAAAAAAGTCTGCGATTCCGTGCAATTTTTAACCCTTTACAAAAATCTTTTAAACTTATCATTCTTACATTTAAGCCACCATTTTCATGTCTCTGTAATGCAGTTCTTTTCTATTCTAGGTGGTTTGTTGCTCCAAATAAGATTGAAAAACATTTTCTCTAGATCTTGCATAAATTTATATGATGGATTGGACAAACAAATTAACAGGTTGCATATTTTGGAAAATTATATGACATTACCACTGTAATTTTTTACCAAGAGTCTATTTTTTTTCATTCAACAAGCTTAGTTTGGAAACTAGAAACTGAGTCCATAACATTAGGTTTCAAATCTACAGAATAGGCTACAACTGATACAGTAAATGGTTCCTATGACCATTGAAAATTAGAATCTGAACGAATGCCAACTTTTGTTGAATCAAAGAACCAATTTTTACACAAGGAGTTTTTTTATTTAGTTTGAGACCAGACAATTGATTGACAAGTGATAGAACACATATGCGAGGGGATTTTTTACCATCTAAAAAGATGACTGAATTAACTGCATATTGCAATATTGTAAGAGTATGCACCATCAAGTATTCTACATCAGTATCAGATATACTTTGACCTTCTTCACATAGTCTAGATATTTCAACAAAGAATTATTAAAGCGCCAAAACCCTCTTTCTTTTGAAAAATAATCAAATCTTAGTTGAAGTTCAATTATTGAATGATCTGTCTATATACGGAGAGAATACATGCAGTGTTTAAGATTGACAAGCTCTTCAGATATTAGAAAGTCAAGCCTAGCCTGTTTAATAAGAAATATTTAGTCCAGAAAACATCTTGCAAATACGCCGTGGGTAAACTAAATCTAATCTATTTTTAAATTTTTTTTAGTTATTTTAGTTATTTTACGTGCGTGGTGTTACAATCTAGATTGAACTTTATCCGAAATAGTTAGGATATTAAAATTCACAATTTTTGTATTTTCTCTATATAAGCCTTAATAAATTCGGCCGCCATTATAGTTCCAAAATGGCCGTTATGCAAATCAGCAGAATGAACACCATTTCTCCATATGAAATTGTGACATGACCCGGCGAAATTTCCTATGACGTCAACCGTACAATAACTGCGTTATAAATACAGAACACTTTTTGTGGGTGTTTCCTATGCAAATGAGCAGAAACTGTACATTATCTGCAAAATATCAACGTTACAGTACGGTTTATTTTTAGCGAAACAGGCAAACTGAATCCGTATCTTAAATGATATAGACATAAGAATCATTTAAATTGCATTATAGCGCTGTTAGTATTTAGGTATTCAAAATCAGATAATTTAAGAATAGAATTTTACAACGTTAAATTGCCAGTGGCGGATTTAAAAATTTTAGAAAGGATTGAGTGGGGGCAGTACACAAATGGTTTTCTTCGAACAAAATGTCTCAACTGGTAAATCGGGGATTTCGTGGAGGAGATTCATAATCAGGCCCGACGCTATCTGCGTGATAGTTACGTGTTTATAAATTAGAAGTGTATAAATATTTAGGAAACATAATTTACGAAAACCAAAAAGAGAAAAAAACATCGAATAGGGAGGCGGATACCGACGCGAGCGAGTGAGTGCTGGATCCGCCTTTGGTTACTCTACATTTTGTTTCAAACATGAAGGTAATATACCCCCTTTCTTTCAACTGTTTATTTCATTTTGGAGTCAATAATTCTGTATACACATGTGTGACTACCGGTCGATGACATTGTCGGACATTTCTCTCAAAATACAACCTCCCCGAAACATTTTTGTTTCAAATACATTCCAACATGATTCCTATGTATCAAAATGTTCTACACTAAATTTGTAGCATAAAATTTAAAAAAAAAATTGTCAGCACTAGCTAAAAAAGAAAGGAAATAAAAACCCTGTGCAATAAAATTTAGATTTATTTAAATTTTAGGAAAACACATAATATAATGCATCTCATAATAATTATTTAAATCGATAGATACCTGCACGTCCACCTCACTCAGTATTTCAGTTGCAATTGCTAAAAATGGGGTACTAAATCAACTTTCTGCACTATCATCTGATTGGTTGAGATTTGTTCCCAAATACACATGTAAATTAGTGAGGTCATGAAAAAGGTCATGTCACAAGTCATTTAGAAAACTCGTTTCCTACTGGGCGGCGCATGGCTAGAGGTATTGCTCTTGCCTTAAGCCCCGGCATGTATCTCCGATACAGTAGGAAACTCTTACTCTAAATATAACATATACAGCGGTGGTGGAGAGAAGAATTTTCAAGAATCTATGCTTTTCCACTCTATGATCATTAAACCCCCAGCCTAATTCCAGAACCCCTGATTCTGGGTCCATGAACTTCACAGTTTTGGTCGAGGACTCAGTGCTTATTACATTCATGCCAACAGTTTGACTGTTTGATGTCCAGGAGTAAAGAAGATTTTAAAAGATAGCTTTAATTTTATGGTTTTTATCCCTACTCCTCAGGACCCATGGAGGCAGGCACCATGGAAATAATTATTTTTTAGCCATTTACTTAATGATGCTATATGCAAATATGTTGTTGACATGTTGTTCAGCAGTTCAAGAGATGAAGCTGAAAATGTTCAATTTTGTCTAACGACCGGCGCACGACGGAGACGACGTCTGACAAAACACAGCAATATGTCGTCTGAGTGACTTAGGTGGCCTAAACAGTTGACACACTGCAGTGTTAAATGTGATAATGCTTTGATAATCTTTACTAGGCCCTATGGTTTGGTATCAAACGTTTGAGTATGCTGTAAGCCACTGGCTTCAGAAGGCCACAGAGCATGTTTTTGGTTGTGTATTATGTTCTCCTGGATGCTTCAGTCTGTTCCGAGGTTCAGCATTGCTAGCAGATAATGTTATGAAAACCTACACTAGAGTGCCAACTGAAGCTGCTCATCATGTGCAGTACGATCAAGGTACATTTTAATAAAACATAGAAAATATCAAAGCTTTACAGAAATAGAGTTGATGCAGGCTCTAAGAATGATCAAGCCCTACCAACTGTTGACAGTATGAATTTCAACAATATAACATATCTTTTTTTCTTCATATCACTTATGTGCATTGACTTTTTAAAAATTTTGACAAAATGCTATAATTTTCATAGCAGATTATGAATATTTAATTTTGTACATTCTTCATTTGAAAATGTCTGCTGGCTTGCAAATATGGGAGGAAATTAACGGTCTACATGTATGTATCGCAAGATAATCCAGGTAATATGTTTTTCTATTACAGGTGAAGAAATTAATGGTCTATGTATCACAAGATAATCCAGGTGTTTTTCTATTACAGGTGAAGACAGATGGTTATGTACCTTATTGTTGAAACAAAAGTATAGGGTAGAATATTGTGCTGCCTCAGATGCTTTGACCTTTGCCCCGGAAGGATTTTACGAATTTTATAACCAGAGAAGACGTTGGGCTCCATCGACTATGGCAAACATTTTGGATCTTTTAATGAATGGAAACAGTGTCAGAAAAATGAATCAGAACATATCAAGACCGTACATTTTTTACCACATATGTCTATTCATTTCCTCAATACTGACCCCAGGAACAATTTTTCTGTTGATTCTTGGAGCCATCATAACAGCTTTTCCACAAATTGAACCATGGCTTGCTCTTCTGTTAAATGGTGTTCCTGTGGCCATTTTCATAATCTCGATTTACGTCGCCAAAGAGGAAACGCAGGTAAATAGGCCTCTTCCATCACTCTTTCCACATAACGTTATGCTTTTATAAGTTATTTTGAATTATTATTGATTTGTATTACAGCTTATGATTGCGGCAATATTGTCGACGCTTTACAGCTTGGTCATGTTGGTTGTTCTGATAGGGTTGCTGAAAGAGGGCGTCGAGGCACAGTTTTGCTCAGTTACAACTGTCTTTTTTTGTTTCGTGGCTGGAGTCTTTATGATTGCTGCATTCTTACACCCAAAGGTATTTATAAACTAATTATCACAGGCATATGTATATTTCACTAGTGTTCACAAGATAGATCGTACGTGTCATATAGAGCCCCGGATTTATTTCAGTACTTTATTCTAAAACGAAAAAGACGTTAATACATAAGATTTAAGTAATTAATTTGTAGTGCTAGATGTTTTTGTTTTTCAATCACTTTGCCTATGCATAACATTCTAGCCTTTTTTTGTTAGGAATTTACCTGCATTCTGCACGGACTGCTTTATTTTCTGGCTGTTCCCTCGATGTCTATGCTTCTGATTTTTTACTCTGTTGGCAATCTGCATAACGTTAACTGGGGAACTCGAGAAAGTAAAACAGCGAAAACAGAACACTCTTCTCAAATGATAAAGAAACGAGTTCTAGGCCAATCGTTTTCTATTGGGGACTGGTGCAGGTACATGTCAATATGCAAAGATATAATCATTTCGATGAAAAAGGCCTTTCTTTCAAAAAGGTTTTGTATTAAAATCATTTAATGGAAATTCAGTTATCGCTAAGATATAGGCTATATTACAATTTTGGTTTATTTTAATATAAAATGAAAATTTTATTCCTTACAGATGTATTTTATGTTTTAACGAAATTGAGGATATAGGACCTGTTGTGTCAGAAGAAGAAAGGAAATCAGAGGAAGAGAAGCAGCCAGAAAAAGAGTCTGATGTTAAAGAACGTGAAAAAAGTCAAGGGAAATTAAAGAAGAAAGAACAGATAGACGAGGGAGACGAAAACAAATCAAAAGTTCAGGGATCCGAAACCATGAAGAATGAAGACTCCAAAGATAGAGCAAAAGTTACGGATAAGAAAGGTACATGTATACACCTTTTAAGTGTACATGTGTGTGTATCTTTATCATAAAATAAAGAAGATACAGGTGATAAAATATTATTTTTCCTCTTCAGGACAAAAGGGAAACCAAAAACGTGGTATTTTCAAAGAATGCAATCCCATTGAAAAGGATGAAGAGGACTTTTGGAGAAAATTTATCAAAAAATATCTAAAACCTCTGAAAATGAATGAAGGGGAAAAGGCAAAAATGCAAGCTGAACTTATTGAACTTAGAAACAAGGTGTTTTTCTTTTATTTTATAACAAATGCCATCTTTGTTACAATTTTTTTTGTTCTCACTCAAGTAAATGCTTATCAGAACACACTTTCCATCCATCTACCATGCAGTGTTGGTGAAACTCAAGGCGTGATCGAACCAATCTCTATCGCTTTTACGCTTGTATTTGGAATTCTGCTTTTAATTCAGTTTTTTGGAATGTTGACACACCGTGTGTCAACAATTTCTCATATAGTAGCTACAACAAAAATCTTTAATAAAGAATTAGATAGAAAAATCCCGATCAAGAAGTTTGAGAAACCAATAGCCGATGAGGTAAAAGAGGAAAAGAAGGAAAAAGAGAATATCAGTACTACTGGACACTCCAAATGGAAAATACTCCAAACAGGAATCTGGCTCCAGAACATTTCCGGAAAACCTGAAATGAAACATCAAACCATTGTAGACCTTAGACAGTCCATCCAAAAGAAGTTAGAAACGATTAATGTGAGCAGTGAGGAAGATGAGATTCTCCGTCTTTACCCAGATATGCCTGTTCCTACAATGAGTATTAGAACTTCATGTCCACCTTTAGATACAAGGAGTCCTGAATCTTCAAACCAATGAATATGAGGATGGGATATTTTTGAGTTAGTTTTATTAGTTCACCTGAGCCGAAGGCTCAAGCTTTTCTAATCAAATTTTGTTAGGTGTCTGTCTTTCCATATGTAAACTTTTCATATTTTCAAATTCTTCTAAAGAAACACTGGGCCAATTTCAACTAAACTTGCTACAAAGTATCCTTGGGTAAAGGGGATTGTAGTTTATTAAAATGAAGGGCCACACCTGCTTCCAGGGGAGATAATTACAAATTAGTAAAAAAATGAACGACAACTTTTTAAAATCTTTTTTTTAAAAAACAACTGGGTCCAAAAATATGAAACTTATGTGGAAGCATCCTCAGGTAATGATTGATCATATTGATATGGAAGAATCCTCAGTTGATTTTGATTCAGTTTTGTTCAAATCATGACCCCTGGGGATAGAAAGGGGTCGCAATGGGTGATCAAAGTTTTACATAGGAACACTCTTTAAAAATCTTCTCCTCAAGAACAGCAAAAGCCTTGATTAGTCATATTGATATAAAGCATTCTCAGATAGTGTAGATTTGATTTTGTTCAAATCTTCTCCTTAGGAATAGAGAGTGGCCACAACGGGGCATCAAAGTTTTACAAAGGAATACATAAAAAAATAATTTAAAAAATCATCTTTTTTTAAGACGAGCAGATCCTGAATAGTCATATTTATATTTATGCCTTCCATATGCTCAGAATGAAAATTATTAAACATATTGTTTCCCGCAGCTTTGTTATTTTTCAGCCAGAATATTAATGACACAAAGGTAAGACATGTTACAACGCGAAATGTAATAACAACGCAAATGTAATAAACTGGGATTCTTACATTTTGCGTTTTTACATTTTGCGTCGAGATCAACGCAAAATGTAATAACGCAAAATGTAATAACACGATTTTTGGATTATTACATTATGCGTTATTACATTTTGAGTTGGGATTAACACAAAATTTAATAATGCACTTTTTGGTTGTTACATTTTGCGTTATTTATTTTTTGCGTCGAAGACAACGCAAAATGTAATAAAACAAAATGTTATAAAACAAATATGATTATTTTTTCTGTATTGTTTTCATTGCGAAACATCACAATATTGATTTAAACATATAACAATGGGGAAACAGACAGACCTAAGAATATTAGACAAACATTACGGCCTTAACGGACATCACTAAATCTAATCGTATATTTTTAAACTCTATTTCTAACATGAGATGTCTGTTTATAAATCAGTCTGTATTATATATCCATTACTGACATTCTTGATTACTAAAGGTTGACCATGGGTCCATTAAAAGCTCTTGATATGCATGTACCACATGCTTGTGTAAATTGGTTAACAAATTAGAAGTGCATGTGTGTGTGCGTGTCTGGTGAGGAGAAGCGGGGGTAGGGTTTACTTCGTATGTTGATCTTTGTATTTTTATGCACATGCAGAAACAATCCATTTTATTATTAGAGAAAGAGGGAATTTTATTTTTGCTGGTCTGCAATGCACATGATTTGTAAAACAGTGTGATATCTTAATTGTCAAGAAACCCCCTTCCCGCTATATTTACACTTGCTAGTAAAAATAAATAGATTTCTTTTCTAAATTTCGTGCATGTGCCTATTGGCAAAAAGAAAAAGCAAACTGATACAGTGATAAACGCAAAAGCCCTCCCCCCCCCCATCCCCATACACACATGTGCACGCACGTTTCTAATTTGCAACACCTATGATTTGAATATCATCTGATTTGAGATGGCTAATGATATCAATATATGATGAAATCAGATCTATTGTAAGAATATGCATATTGTTTTATTTTCCTACTACTCAATTGAAAATTATTCTCAATCTGACCAAAAATGTGTTATTACATTTTGCGTTTTTGTATTTTGCTTAATCTCGACGCAAAATGTAACGACGCAAAATATAATAATCCAAAAATCGTGTTATTACATTTTTCGTTATTACATTTTGCGTTTATCTGGACGCAAAATGTAATAAAGCAAAATGTAATAATCCTAAAAATAGTGTTGTTACATTTTGCGTTATTACATTCTGCGTTGATATCGACGCAAAATGTAATAACGCAAAATGCAATAATCCCGGTTTATTACATTTCGCGTTGTTATTGCATTTCGCGTTGTAACAAAGACATGAAAATTGGGAGATCCTATGTTTTTCTACAATTTGTATACACCAGGATTTGGATCTCCCAAAACTTAAAGGTACAGCATGATAGTAGTCAAAAATACAATTTTATCAAACACTTATGGTGAAAAATAAGGTGGCAACCAACAATAGGCCACCAAAATCCAACTACGTTGGATTTTCCGCCACCCAAGGGAAACAACTCACATACATCTATTTTACACCATAGGGAATTTTCTAAATACAATATTGTATCTAAGAAATAATGACAAATAGTTCTATACACATCCTTAATCCTACCATATTAGGATTGAATAAATGATGAGCATTAATTTTCAGTATCAAGGCTGGCATTATTTGCATAATAACAGCAAAGATTTAAGTAAGTGAAACTTTTCTGACAACTTAATTGAATAACTGACACTATTCTGACCTAAACAAATTATTCACACACAAAACTTCATGCATTCAATTCATACTACCTAATAATTATTAGTAGGCAACAAAGTTATATGATAACCTGACCCATCTGAAACTGATAATGTATATGGAGAATGGCAGACATAATCTGAACCATCTAAAACTGATCTAGGGACAACCTGCGTGAGGATGGCAGACATAATCTGAACCACCTAAAGTGATCTAGGGACAGCCTGCATAAGGGTGGCAGACATAATCTGAACCACCTAAAGCTAATCTAGGGGCAACCTGCATGAGGGTGGCAGACATAATCTGGGTCACCAAAAGCTGATCTAGGAATAGCCTACAAAGGGATAGCAGACATAATCTGACCCATCTAAGACTATTTTCATAAACACCTATGTAAGAGGATGATTGGTATTATGCTCAATATACTTGAGGGAAGATGGGAAAACTTATCTGACTAAAATAATTCTGAAAATGGACAATGTATTGGAGAAAAAGAGTAAAAGATCCTGTCCTTATATATCTCTTGACTGCATTAGATTTCCATATACCCATACATTGAATGTCATTTTCAGAGAAACCTAACCCAGCTGCTTGTGATGCTGCCCTAATATAAAAACTATGTTCTTTGTGTTGTGTTGGATTTAAAATATGACTGCAAAAGCTACTTCTAAGTGTATTGAAACAAATGAATGTGAAACTGGAGTGTCTTTTATAAAAAGAAAAAAAAGAGGGGCCTTTTATGTGTTAAAATTGGTAAAAGTAATAAAAACAATGGAGAGGACTTTTACTCAGACTGGGCCTCTAAAAGATTTAACTGACCGGATTGCATAGTTTAGTATGATGCGAAAATAAACTTTCAGTTTTCAATCCCTTTCACCATTTTCGAAATCTATAATGTCTGAACTTTACAACACCTGATCTATAGATTGGGGTATCCCTATAATTAATTCTCCTAATAAAATCCAAAGAAACAACACTCTTTGAAGACTACCCTCACTTCAGTGATTCCCAATAGAACATGTATGACTAATGGTCTCCAAATTGACAGATTTCCCTCATTTGATGGGAGCCTGCTGTCTGACATGACTTTTGACCATGTTGACTGTCTTTTAAAGAAAATCCTTGGATGGCTCTGGCAAATTCATAA